GGGGTTGAAAGAGAGTGAGGGGAAAGGGTGTGTGGGGGAGGGGAAAGGGTGTGAGAGGAAGGGGAAAGGGAGTGAGGGGGAGGGGAGAGGGTGTGAGAGGGAGGGGAAAGGGTTTGAGAGGGAGGGGAAAGGAAGTGAGGGGGAGGGGAAAGGGTGGGGGGGGAAGTGTGTGAGAGGGAGGGGAAAGGGTGGGATGGGGAAAGTGAGTGAGGGGGAAGGGTAGGGAGTGAAGGGGAGGGGAAAGGGCTGGAGGAAGTGAAGGGGGAGTAAAAAGGGCTGGGAGGGGGGAGGGGTAAGGGCTGGAGGGAGTGAGGGGGGAGGGGAAAGGTCCAGGAAATGGAGCACCTGCCCTGCTCTTGTCTGAAGGCCTGGTTCATTTAGAGAGTGTGGCAGATGGTGACAGAAACAGAGACCTGGGGGGGTTGGGTTGGGGGGTGATCACATTAAAAACACTGAGTGACAGCCTTCGCCCTCCTGCTTTCCACCCGGCATTGCTCAAATAAGCCGAACAACGGAGAGTCTTTTACAAACAGATTGAATTAGACTCATTTAAAGGAACGTCCCCACTCTGTGGTTATTAAAAGTGTTTGTGCACTGTTGGGCAGGTGACTCATTTTTAATGTCTGTAAGAAATATTTGTTGTGCTCATTTAAAATTAGTAATGCCTGCCATTTCCCAACCTCCCTTGAAAGAAAGGCATACCCAAAGTTGAGAAAGCCACATGTTGACCTATACCAACAGGAAATCTAACAGCTTCTGGAAAATTAACTGTTCTGTAAAAGAATAGTCAGAATGTGCGACAGTTTAAATACAGGACTCAGTTTTCCAGACCTGAGGTACTTTTGGCCGTGGGGTCTGTTCTCCAGGAAGTAACCGTTTTAGCAGGTCACGTCCCCCCAGCTCAATTGGGGATGGCAGGGAAGATTGTGGAACAGAAGGGCGGGTCACAGCAGTGTGGACTCCGAGCGGGATAAATGGTTGGCATGAAATGGCTGAGGGAACCACCGAGAGGTGGCAACAAACCTCTCAGAGCTAGCTGCTCTTGAATTGGTCAGCCTCTGCCAACAGATAGCCCCAGGCCTGCCATTAGTATCATTATCACAATTAAAACGCATTTGGACAAGTGTCGTAACATTCAAGACTACGTGCTGCAAAAGTGGGACTAATGTAGGCTTAGCATAGTTTTGGCAGTACAGATCCGATAGGCCAAAGGGCCTTTGCTGTACTGAATGGCTCTATGATTTCACCGCAGTGTGTCTAACACACATCGCTATGAACTAAGAGCAGAAGTAGGCTATTTGATCCTTTGAGATGGCTCTGCCATTCAGTCAGATTAGGAGCCATCTGATTCCTCCTCATTCCCATCTACCCACGGCAACCTTTCCCCTTTTGGCATATCAAGAAATCAGTCACTCAAAGTAAGGGGACACTTGAGGGAATATGGGTTGAGATACAAGATCAGCCGCGATAGTATTGAATGGCAGAGCAGGCTCGAAGGGCTGAATGGCCTACTCCTGCCCCTAGTTTGAATGTTTACTGCTCCCTGCTAACAGGAAGACTGAGAGGAGAAAAGGTAAGACCATTGCAGAGTTCAATTTTTAACATCTCCCCGCCTGCCATGCCACCTCCCAGTCGTCTCCGGTCAGGAATGTCTACTGCTGCCACTGGCAGCCCAGCTGTGCCAGGGGGCTGCACCTGAAGCTACTGACCTGTTCTGTGTGATCTGTTCTTGCAGTCATGGATAAGTAAAACCGCTGAAGCGGACGCTAAACTCATTCTTTACAATGTGACAGAACAGGATGAGGGCGAGTATCTGTGTAGAGCCACCAATTTCGTTGGCACGGCTGAAAAACTGCATTGGCTTTACGTCAACAAACCGAAACCAGGTAAACGCAAACCTCTGTCCCAGGCATCCACCCCCCCCAACAAAGTATGACTTTTAACCTCCTTACCTCTACCCCCAGCCCACTGCCCACCATCATCGCCACCAACATACAGCAAGAAATCCCTTTGTCTGTTCATGGGCTTGACTGCTACAGGCTGTGCCAACCAGTCATCAGTAATCTTCCCTTCCTATTCCTGCTATGCATAGCAAAATAAAACACTCTGCTATCCTTTGCTGTGGAAAAAATTCCTACAATACAGGATTGCTTTCCATCCTTTACACTTCTCCCCACTGATGTTGCCTTTTCCTCTCACATTTACTAATTTAAAAGAGCCTGTCACATTGAACAACCATCAGTTGCTGTCAAGCATTACTCACAGCTGTTTTATTTAACAGTGCTGTCGCTCTTGATCCCCCCTTTCTCCTTCGCCTCATGTGACTCTTCCTGAAAGAAAATGTTAATTTTCTTTTTCTGAAGCCTGACTCTTAAAGCAATCCGGCATATTGTGGGTCAATTTTGTTCCCCACACCCACCCACCCCTCCCCTGCCAACCAAGTTCAAACACTTGTTGCATTTGCTCTTGCATGCTGTTAATGGGACAGAGAGAGTGAGAGCCTGGTGAAGGGAACTCTTGACTAACGTGCAGGCTGTGGAGGTAGGAATGTCTATCATGTCGCACTATTCTGGAGCAAGGTGGAACCTTTTAGATTGTGCTTGAACCTGCTTTCAGGTCTGTGGTGTGCAGGGACTTTATCTGAGGTGCTATGGTCAAACCCTATACCTTGTTGTCCCCTCTCGCTTCATTTTCTTCTATCCTGTTTGGTTTCTGTTTTTTTTGTAGACTGCTGGTATTAACACAACGGATAAGGAAATAGAAATTCTGTACTTGCGAAATGTTACTTTTGAGGATGCTGGGGAGTATACCTGCTTGGCCGGTAATTCTATTGGGTATTCGCATCACTCTGCATGGCTATCCGTTCTGCCAGGTATTCAAATTCTCTCTTGTGATTGTCATGTTAATATTCCTTTCTGCAAAATGGGAAAGTTAGAATGCATTTCTGTAGTACTTTTAATCACTCCATACTCTAGACAGAATATCTCACCATCAGTATCCATTTCTGTATGTTTATTGATAAAAAAATTCCAATTCCATCTGCTACAGAAAGTGTACCCAAGAGGGGTCATACCGGAGGTGAAACTCTGATTTCTGTCTCTGCACTTGCTGCCAAGGCCTGTTGAGTTTCTTCAATACATCCTGTTTTTACACCAATTGTAATCATTCTGATCTTGGCCAGTCTTCCTCAGCTTTTCATTTTTGCTTCATTCCGCTGGTCTTTCACTGCTTCAACACACACTGGGGTTTGAACCTGGGCACCTCATGATGTGCACAGACCAATTACTACATACTCACACACACACGCACAAAGACACATGCGCACATACACTTGCAAAAGAACTGTCAGACTGGCACACACACACTCATACACATACACAGAAACTCTCACACATCAGACATGCAAATTGGCACACACACGGGTGCGCGCACACACACACAGGCACATTTGCAAACGAACTCACAGACACACACGTGCATGCGTGCACACACAGTTACACAGACACACACAGACACACTCACAGGCACATTTACAAACAAACTTACAGACACACACACAAACATATACACAGACACACATGAGCATGCGTGCACACACACAAAGATACACACACACACGTGCATGCGCGCGTACGCAGATACACATATGTACAGACCCACGTATGCACACACACACATACACAGTGCATATGCACACATACAGATACACAGACACACGTGCACACGCGCGCACACAGATACACAGACACCAACACACATATACACAGACTCACGTGCACACACGCACACACAAAGATACACAGACACCCAGATATTGCACATGCACACACACACAAAGATACACACACACACATACACAGACTCACATGTGCATGCATGCGCACACACACACACACAGATACACAGACACACAGACTCACACATACACACATGCACACACACACAGGCACACACACGTACACAGGCACGCACACACACACACACATACACACATTGGAAAACACAAAAAAATTAAAGGATAGCAATCGCCTTGAACTTTTATTTTGTATGGGTGTTTTGCCCATTTATTTCCTCCCCCAAATTTAAATCAATAGGTCAGTGGAGCTGACATGATGTGGGAAACTGGTTGAGAGGAGAAACCATGACCTCACTGAAACGATAGGCTTGCTGAGACACCCAGGCTCAGTAACTTTATCAGCACGAATGTATCTTTGTCCATTGAACATCAATCTGAAAGGCCTTGGAGCTGAGATCCTGGCTGGGATCCATCCTTCTGAGCTGGGAAACACCATAACCTTGCCTTGGAATTCAAGGAGAAAGCACTGTCGCATGCAGTTTATTTGACCCCTTTACAATGATGCTTTCACAATTTGTTGCTGACAGCTTTCCTGTTCTCCAAAAAGTGGACAAACATTTTTGAAGAGAAAAGGTCCAGATGGTGAAATTTTCTGTTTGAACCCAAAATGATCACAATAGAATTATGCTTCTGAAATGATTTTGCCAGCTTGTTTTCAATAATTAGCTATAGGCACCATATAATATTAGATAGTCCCCCTGTACTGATGGAATATGGACTAACATTTGTATATTTTAAATTGGGTTATAAGGCAAACTGAAATACAATAATGTAGTAAAATGACAAAGCAGTCCACTAATTACTGTCTGGGTTCCACAACAGTGTAATCTCCATTAACTTCCCACACAATGGAAGGGTCACCTTTCCACGCAAAGGACAGTCCCTATCATCCAGGAGGGCCAAGCTACAGATGTGACTACAAGTCCAAAACCAATGTCAAAATGAAATATTCTTATTCACCCTTATTATTATGGAGGCTTATTCACTAAGGAAAGGGAATTACTAATAACAAGTACAACTGGGCAATGTGCTGACGTCTCAAAAGAAAGTCTGAGTTTTTAAAATTTCTGGTGGATCGTCTGGAAGAAGCAGAATAGGAGGATGGAAAGTAGAAGTCTCACAAGGCACTGAAGCATGAAAAATAGCAGGAGCCTGACTGGTTTGCCCGCACTCACCCGCTTGAAGTATTTGATAATAAATAAACACACATCATCATCAGACTATTCGAACTGATGTAATGGAAAATTATTTGAAAAAGCTCCAAGTCCCTCAAGGTACTGTCTTTGGCGCATCTGACGCCAAGAGTATAGACACTCTCCCCTTTCCAGTGATAGCTCTGATCCTACAGGCACAGCGCCAGAGAACTGACTGAAACTTTCTTAAATGCAAACACAACGAATTGCCCAGAAAAAGCTTCCTGATTTTTTTAAACATTATAATCAGTAATATTAACATATACCTATCACATTGAGTATTTTTGAGTTTATTCTATTTGGAGTTTGCACTAAGTTTTATTTGGAGATATGCCTGAAAGTCGCAAGTGTAGTGCTCATTTTCACCACTAGATGCTGCACCTCTTTAACTCCTGATGCCACACTCAGCTCATTTCTTGATCCTTCAGCCTCTGTGGTCTCTTGGAAGTGTCAAGGAATCACAAATGATCATAATTAAAGGGTGGCCTTTTCATGTGTAGTCTATTTATCATGAGGAATATTTTCTCCACTGACATTTTGCTGGCCTCATTTAAGGTCTGTCATATTATTAATAGACCATTTCTGTTCAGTTAAATACATTAGTGTTTTAATGTCTTCTCTTTCAACATGCAATGATCATCAATCAAATTGACAATCTGAGCCTTAGGCTGTTATAACATTCTATCAGCAACGACCGCACAATGTGCAGTGAAAGGGTTATTTTATAGAAATGTATCTTTTCTCCCCCTATCAGCTCTTTTCCCTCTAAGGCACTGAAGTACAGATTGAGTTCACAATTTCGTCAGTACTTAGCTAAGTGGCCCTGCATTGCCAGTGAGGGGCAGATGGATATACAGTCATGCTGGGCAGCACATGAGCCAGATCCTGTCCATTTCCAACATCGCCCTAGCACACTTTCAGCAGCAATTCTCCACTGCAATCACTTCACAGCAGGCTTGCGTCTTCAGCAGATTTTCCTTCCTCAGCCCCTGTGGCATTCCCAGTTATAACACCCTGACCACTGCTCAGCTCCATCAGACCTGTGGTAGCACAGTGGCTCAGTGGTTAGCACTGCTGCCTCACAGCACCAGAGATCTGGATTTGATTCCAGCCTCAGGTGACTGTGTGGAGTTTGCAAATTCTACCGGCTACTCTGGTTTCCGCCCACAGTCCAAAGATGTGCAGGTTAGGCAGATAGGCCATGGGAAATTGCCCATAGTGTCCAGGGATGTGTAGGTTAGGTAGATTAACCATGAGAAATGCAGGATCTGGGTGGGATGCTCTTTGGAAGGGTGGTGTGGACTTGATGGGCTGAATGGCCTGCTTCCACACTGTACAGATTCTAAACCTGGGTTTAGGATGTTAACTGCCAACGTTTAATGAGAACCATCTCACTCTGACTTTTTAATGTCATCAGATTCTGCATGGTGGCTCTGAGGTTTAATCCCCTGTTAAATGTTGAGTTAGCCCCATGATCTAATCCCCCACTTTCCTCTGGGTTAATGAAGAGTGCTCCCCACGCTTTCTGATCCTGATCTCTGCAGCAGGGTGAGTGAATATTGGATGATAGGGTGACATTACATCCTCCACAATTTAAGTACCTTAGAGACATTCATAAATAATAACCAGTGTGCGGAGGGGTTTGGGGGGTGGTGACCAGCACAAGGTAGGAATGGAAAAGAAAAACACAAGGAGAAGAGCAAATTGGGAAGAAGGGTAAAAGACATGGATGGATTCATGAGCAAGAATTCAACTCCTTTGAATCCATTCGTGTCTATTCCTTTGGCCAAATCACCACATGGGCAAGTATAGTTCAGATTGTTAATATCAGAATACATTGTGCATACTTCAAGAAACACAGAAATAAATCAGATTCTTCTCCGTCACGATTTCTCTGACTAAGCATTTGTCTGTTGGCTCCAAGAAGTCCCAAAGTCCTCTCTTTTAACTTGTTTCTTACAATATCTCCCTGCAGCAGAAGACTTGGTGAAGGAGGATGATTCAAGCTCAGTCTATGCTGATGTCCTTATCTATGTAACTGGCTGTGTCCTTATCATACTGACTGTTATTATAGTGATCATGTGCAGAATGAGAACATCCTCAAAGAAAACCCTGAACCCACCGCCTGTGCAGAAACTCTCCAAGTTCCCACTGAAGAGACAGGTAACAGAAAGTAGATACAAGAGTTTAGAGCATATTGTCACCCAGCTGTTCCAAGGTGAATTCTGTTGGGCTTTGACGTACCTTTCTTGGTTTTGTTGCTTTTTCGTATCACTTGCTCCCTCCACAAAAAAAAGTCTTCAGTTCTAATCTCAATTACACTTCCATTGATTTGGTGAAAATTCATCTTTAGCACCACCACTATCACCACCGAGATGGAAGAGAGATACAGCTCCTTGCATCACAGCTGCACACTGGCTTGGGAGTTGCCATTGTATAAAAATGAACTCCTACACAGCAGCTCAATGCATTCCAGAGCAGAGATTTAAATTAGATAAATATGAGGTGCTGCATTTTGGTAGGGGAAATCAGGGCAGGATTCATACACTGAATCATCCTGGGAAGTGTTGCTGAACGAAGAGACCTGGGAGTTCAGGATCATAGTTCCTTGAAGGTGGAGTCCCAGGTAGACAGGGCAGTGAAGAAGGTGTTTGGTATGTTTGCCGTTTCTGGTCAGTGCATTGAGTATAGGAGTTGGGAGGTCATGTTGCAGCTGTACATGACATTGGTTAGGTCTCTTTTGGAATAAGGCATTCGATTCTGGTCTCCATGCTATAGGAAATATGTTGTTAAACTTGAAAGGATTCAGAAAAAATTTACAAGGATGTTTCTGGGTTTGAGCTATAGGGAGAGGCTGAATAGGCTGGGGCTATTTTCCCTGGAGCATCAGAGGCTGAGGGGTGAGCTTTTAGAGGTTTATAAAATCATGAGGGGTATGGATAGGGTGAATAGCCAAGGTATTTTTCCCAGGGTAGGGGAGTCCCAAACCAAAGGGCATAGGTTTAAGGTGAGAGGGGAAAGATTTAAAAGGGAAATAAGGGTCAACTTTTTCATGCAGAGGGTGGTGTGTGTATGGAATGAGTTGCTCGAGGAGGTGGTGGAGACTGTACAATTACAACATTTTAAAGACTTCTGAATGGGTAAATTAATTAGGAACAGTTTAGCGGGATATGGTCCATATGCTGGCAAATGGGACTGGATTAGTTTAGGATGTCTGATTGGCATGGATGAATTGGGTCTGTTTCTACCCTGTACATGTCTGTGACTCTATGAACAATATTGTGGCAGGATACTTGATTCAGCAGCACGGGCTTTAGTAACCTGAATTAGGGAAGGGGAACTCACTCACAGCCCCCTTCTCCCAATCATAAGTAAATGGTCCACCCTCCTTTCCCAGAGTGGATGTGTTTGGACAAACAGGGCAGGATTTCCAAACGCCTGTCTGCAGGGCAGGGAAACAGTCAGGCTAAGGGCCAGCGTACTCTTAAAGTGGTGTTCCGAGATGGTGTGTCACTCTCCTGGCCCTTCAGGAACACGTTGCAATTTTCAAAGAGAGAGAACCAGCAACCCGCTGACCCCCATGGGCTGGAGATAGCTAAAGGGATGGTTAGTGGGCTAGAGAGGGACAGAACAAAACTGTTAAAGAATCAAATGGTCTGCAACATTTTAGTGCAAACCTGTCGGGAGCAGCGTGGGGAGCGACTCTTGGTCGTGGATGCTGATTTGAAATTTAGAAAGGAAAGGGAATGCCAAACTGAGGTGCTCATGCAGGTTGGCATCACTTGAATGGAGCTGCTTTAGGACGTGGTCAGTGAGTGAGTGGACAGTAAGACTGTTAGCAGTCTGCCCATTACCCTGCACAGCGACACCAAACCCCAACATGGCTGCCAACTGTCTTTGCGTTTCACAATCCCGAGTCAGGTCATGCCTCCAGGCAACACCCAGCACCACTCTTCGCCTTGGTGAAGAGGCTGGTTTTGGGTGATGCTTTCTATTGTCCGGTACTGATTTCAAACTATTCCTCTTTCTGAGTGACTTTGCAGAGTCCTGACATAACTCCATAGTTGTGTGTGCTTGTGGGGCTGTCTGATCAGTTGAAGGCTGCTGCACAGTTCAGGTTATCCTGTTCCTCAAAATTCATGTCCTGGTTCAAACATCATTTCCAAATCCATGTTGAAATTTAAGTAACTAAAAATGTGGCATTCTGATTGACTGAATGCTTAATGGAGCTCTAAACACATGTACAACTTGTGTGTCAACTCTGCAGAATCTGCAACCTAATAGAGCTTGGATTGGAGAGACATAAGCTCATGGTTCAAACAGTAACCAGTGACTGAATAACAATTTTGAGTTTGCTGTGACACAAGAATAAGTAAAACTGGCTCCATCCATTTTGGGATAGAATTCCATATTGGAAGAACATTAATATAAATGATGGCCCACATTTTGTGCTTTATGTTGGTTTTTGCAGCCTGTGACCTAACAGTCCTGATTGCCAGTACCTTATGGTGGTTGGTAACAAATTTCAATTATTTTTCACTCAAGCAGGTGTCCTTGGAATCAAACTCCTCCATGAACTCCAACACGCCATTGGTGCGAATTGCCCGCCTATCCTCCAGTGATTCCCCGATGCTGGCCAATGTCTCTGAACTGGAGCTTCCTGCTGATCCCAAGTGGGAGTTTCAACGCCCAAGGTGAGTTTTACTCACTGACTGTATCACTGAACTAGGGCCAGACAAACGGCACTTTCTTTTCCGTCGCTTTCTTTTCCCATTCATCCTCAACGGATCTTTCCTGTTTCTGCCCCCGCCCCCACCACCTCCCTCACAGGCTGACTTTGGGAAAGCCATTAGGCGAGGGCTGTTTCGGTCAGGTCGTCATGGCAGAGGCCATTGGGATCGAGAAAGACAAGGTCAACAAACCAATCACCGTTGCTGTCAAGATGCTGAAAGGTAAGAACAGACAGACTGGCCGCTGCTGTACTGCACCATAATGTGACACAAGCTCAGACTGAAAAGACAATGTCATCTCAGTTTACAGAACAGGCTGTGCCCACCATCTCTTACAACGGGAGGCTGACGTTCACTTCAGGGACAAATTAGCAACTGATCAATTTTGGCAACAACCTCTCATTTCTCCCGTTTTCTCTCCAGCAGTTCATTCTGTATTGGCAGTCCTCTGATATATTAACACCCCCAGAGCAATATTTGCCCCCAGTACAATATCTACCCCCGACTAAGCCTAGATACAGACCTCTAGGGCTATTTGGCCATGGCTTACTGTCCTTGGCCAACAGCCTGTGCCACACAGGAGCCCTTGAGCGTGTTTCAAAGTCTCCAGTGTACACCTTAGAATCTTGATTTACTCATCACCGCTTTCTCGACTTTGGCAGAGGTTGGCAGTGCCAAAGGGTGGGCTGTAGCAGGTCTGTGGAGCACTGCATTATTGGAAATATGAAAGGGATGAGTATAGTTCTATGTGTAATAGCAATCTTCTGGGTGGCTGTCTTTATTTGAGATACTAACGTGGGCAGATTATTCAACTGCAGGTGCATCACACCTTTGCCTACCTTAAAAAAGTCGCTGCATTCGGAAAGTTGCTCATGGTGAGAAGAGCCTTCAGGTGAAATTCGGATAAATCTCTTGAATGGAGGCAGAAGACCATTCAGTCCATATTAGTGCATCCATCCAGAATCACCCCACAGTTCTCCGCAAACATTATTTCCCTCAATGATGTCAGTAGTTTTGCCTCCACTGCTCCATGTGGAGTTCCGTTCCAAGATTCAGTCACTCTCTTTGTGAAGACAAGCTTCCTGATATCAGTCTGAAATTTGCCTTCAGTGAATTTGAAAGTATGTCTTCTCTCAGCCTGATGCAGGCACTTGTCTTGCTGTTTTCCATGCTTTTTATAATTCTGTGTACCCAGAATTACTGCAGTGCAGAAGGAGCCCATTCGGCCCATTGTGTCTACACCAGCTCTTGGAGCCCAAACATTAAATCTCAGACCACTCTCCAGAATGAAACACCTGATAAAGTGTCACTTTGTGCACACCTCAGATGCCTGAGCTAAGGGCTCAGAGTTCTTTATAACTCTTCCCTGCACTGGCAGCAGGCCTTAACTGTTCACCTTGTGTCTCAGGGACAAGAGCTGAGCACAGTGTTGACGAAACAGACCGGCCAGTGCACTAAATGGTTTAATCACAGCCATGTCTTATTCTATGGATAGTGGATTGCTACATTTACTTTCATTGCAGTTTATTAAACTGGAAAATAGAGAACAGAAGCAGGATTGGCCATTGAGCCCATCGAGTTCCCTCTGCTACTTATTTTAATCATGTGGAGGCAATGGCCTAGTGGTATTATTGCTAAACTATTAATCCAGAAACTCAGCTAATGTTCTCAGGAGATAACAAGGTGTAAAGCTGGATGAACACAGCAGGCCAAGCAGCATCAGAGGAGCAGGAA